CAGAGTTGTGCAACCATCATCACCATCATCTAATTTAAGAATGTTTTCATCACTACCATGGAAACCCCCATACCCCTTAGCCATCACTCCCCATTATTTTTTCCACCCAGCCTTTGGAAACCATTAATCTGTTTTCTGTCTCTATGGATTTACCTATTTGGGGCAATTCATAAAATTGAAATTTTATAATATGTAGCTTTTTATGTTTGGCTTCTTTCATTTAGCATGTATTCAAGGATTATCCATTCCTTCTCATTACTGAATAGTATTCCATTGTATAGATGTACTGCATTTTGTTTATCCATTCATCACTTAGACACTTGTGTTGTTTCCACTTTTAGACTGGGTAAATTGTCAAGTTAAAACTTGGTAAATGCAGGTTGCTGGGTGGTGAGCTGTGGTTCAACAATGGATCGCAAGGGGAATTGAAAAAGAGTTTATTAGCCACAGGTCCTGGAGGAGGTACCCTACACGCCTGGAGGGGCCACACCGGGAGGTCAGGGCAGAGTGCACACAGGGAGCAGGACCTGGGGCTCATTCATACCTTTATTAGGGTCTGTGGGTGGAGTGCTTTGAGGTTCCTAGACTAAGACTGGATTCATCAATTCCAACCAAAAGAGTGGGGTTTGTGTAAGCCCCACAAAGGTCTTACCTAAGGGGCACGTAGGGGAAACCGCTGGGAGGCAGGGGAGACTGTTGGTCTTAGGATACTGGAGAAATTGTATCAGGACATGTGTTTGCTTGTGACTTTCTGGGCTATTATCTAGGACATACCTTGCATGAGGGCCAGTGTTAGTTTAGGGCCCCGCTGGGCCAAACAAAAGGGAAGGTGAGGCAGTAATACCACGGAATAGCTGAGCTACACTCTCAACAGGCTGTTACTGATAAATGCGTCTATGAACATTCCTGTATGAGTTTCTGTGTGACCCGCCATTCTTTTACAGTAGGTCTGTAGCAGCTTCTCTTAATTTTTCTTCAACAGAGAATGTCTTGAATTCCCCTTCATTTCTGAAGGACATATTCCCTAAGTAAAGAATTCTGAGTTGACAATTCTTTTGCTTCAACACCTGGAAAATATTGAGTCACTTGCTTCTGACCTCCTTGGTTTCTGATGAGAAATCTAGTATCATTAAGTTGTTTTTCTCCCATAAATGAGGTGTCATTTCTCTCTTGCTGCTTTCAAGACTTTGTCTTTAGTTTTCAGAAGTTTGGCTGTGATGTGTCTTGGCACATATTTCTTAAGGTCTATCCTGTTTGGCGTTTGCTCAGCTTATTGGATCTGTAGGTTTGTATCTGTTGCCAAATAGAGTAAAATCTCAGCCATTATTTTTTGGAGTATTTTCCAGCCCTGCTGACTTTCCCTCTCTTTCCAGAATTGCAAAGACATGAGTGTTTGATTTTTGCCATAGTCCCACTGGACACAGAGGCTCTGTTTTTCCCTGTCATTCAGATTGGGTAATTTCTATTGTCCCATCTTCCAGTTCACTGATTCTTTTCTCCGGCTCCTCCATTCTGTCTCCATCAAGTTTTTAATTTCAGTTATTGTATTTTTCAGTTATAATGTTTCCATTTTGTTCTTTATGTCTTCTATTTCTTTGCTGAGACTTTCTATTTTTTCATCTGTTTCCAGCATGTTAAGAATTTTTGTGGAGGCTCTTGAAAACTCCTGTCAAGTAATCCTGACATCTGTGTCATGTCTGTGTTGGTGAATGCCTTTCTCAGTCAAGTTGCTTTACCCATTTCTAAACCCAAAATTGAGCCATCTGTGAGGATGTTCTCAGTCTCAAGTAATTAGGTTTTCCATGGTTGTTTTAAAAGAGAAATTGTGTCATTATAACTCAGCATTTGTTAATCTGTGGCCCAAATGGACCTGAGTTCCATGTTATTCTCCCCCTGTACAGTTTGGGTGCTTATATTACAAGCCATTTGCCCTTTCCCTTAGTCTGTGTTCCCTTCCAGTGCTGTCACTGAACTGTTTCCTTATGATGATGTCACCGTGAAGTTGTTCCTGTAGGGCTGCACCCTTGACTACGTGTGTCTCATTTATGACCTCCAGTGGCTTGTTTTACTTGGCCCTTTTTAAAGGGCTACACTGCTGTCTCTGCAGCTTGCCTAATTATTTTATTAGTTCAGAAATTTCCTTCTCATTTATATTACATCAGCCTTGACCACATAAAATACAATCTTCTCATTCATTCAGCAGATATTTGTTGTATTGGAGATAGAGTGATGGGCAAGACAGACAGGTCTTTGCTTTCCTGTAGCTTTTCAGTGGGGGAGGAGAGAAGATAACTCCATAGAATAATTGGTATTCAGAGAATTAAGACAGGATGATGGGTGACAGGGTAATTTCATTGGTGGTAAGGGAATGACTCTCTGAAGAGAGAATATTTAAGCTGAAATTGATTCTTTTTTTTGTAGTTTCCATCTCTCTGTTTACATTGTTCTTCTGTTCTTGCATTAGAGCCTGTTATGGGCTGAATTGTTGAAAATTCATATGCTAAAGCCCTAACCTACCTAGTATCTCTGATTGTATTTGGAACTAGGGCCTCTGAAAAAGCAATTAAGTTAAAATGATGCCTTTACAGTGAATCCTAATCCAATCTGACAGGTGTTCTTACAAGAAGAGATTAGGACATAGGAGAGACACCAGGCATGTGTGAGGACAGAGAAAAGGCCATCTGTAGGACAAGGCCTTAGGGAAACCCACCTTGCTGACACCTTGATCTTGAACTATCAGCCTTCAGAATTGTGAGAAAATATATTTCTATTGTGTAAGCCACCTTGTCTGTACTATTTTGTTTTGGCAGCTGATTAATACAGAGCCCTAAGCATCCTAATTATAGTTATTTTATTTTTAAATATATTTTTATTGATTTTAGAGAAGAAGGGAGAAGGAGAGACAGAAACATCAGTGATGAGTGAGAATCATTGATCAGCTGCCTCCTGCATGCCCCACACTGGGGATCAAGCCTGCAATCTGAGGATATGCCCTGACCAGGAATTGAACTGTGACCTCCTGGTTCATAGGTTGACTCTCAACCACTGAGCCACGCTGGCCAGGCCAAATCATCCTATATAATAAAAGGCTAATATGCAAATCAACTGAACGGCAGAACGACTGGTCGCTATGATGCACACTGACCACCAGGGGGAAGACGCTCAATGCAGGAGCTGCCCCTGGTGGTCAGTGTGCTCCCACAGGGGGAGCGCAGCTCAGCCAGAAGCCCTGAGCTGGGCTCACGGCTGATGAGTGCAGCAATGATGGCAGGAGCCTCTCCCGCCTCTGTGGCAGTCGGACATCCCCCAAGGGCTCCCGCACTGCAAGAGGGCACAGGCTGAGCTGAGGGAACCCCTCCTTGAGTACACGAATTTTGTGCACCAGGCCTCTAGCAGTTATTTTAAATTCCCTGTCTGATAATTCCAAAATCTCTGTCTTATCTGAGTGTGGTTCTGATGCCTGGTTTGTCTCTTTAGACTGTGCTTTTTCCTTTTAGTGTGCCTTGTAATTTTTGGTTGAAGGATAGACATTATTTACTGGGTAAATAGGACTTCCGTGTGCGGTTTTATGTTAATCTGGCTAGGGGTTGGGCTGTGTTCTATGGAGGCTCCAGGGGCTTCATATTCCAGTTGTTCTCACCATTTCCCCTGTTTCCTTTGGGTTTCCCTAAGAATTCCTCCTTAGATAGAGTCTGTGCCTTTCAGTCTCCCAGCTATCATCCTTTGTTTTAGTAGTTCCTGTAGTTCTTGTTGTGTGAAGAGACTTTAGTCTCTTCTGGAAAAAAAAAAAGTTTGTCATGGGAAGCAACCTAGATGTATTTCAGAACGGTTACTCCTCATTGCCCTCTGCCAGACCATGTGAGAACCTTTTGGGGTTCTTGGAGATCAAACCCACAAGAATGTGGAGGCCCCCCTAAGATTGCCACACCCCCAGAAGTTTCTTACTATCGTGGTATTCCACACCCAGCTTCCAGCAGTTTGTCAAAATGATCATTTACATGTTCCTATCCATTTAGGCTCCAGTGGTTTCTGTTCTAGGAAAACTGATGTTGGCTGTCATTACCCTGCAACCTCATTTCAAGAAAAGTCTTTGATTCTCAGTTTATTTCTCTTTTCTTGTTATATGGGTGGGGTGACAGTTTCCAAGCTCTTTACCTATTGGAGTTGAAACGACATCCCTGCCCTGCCCAGGGTGCAGTAGGGCTCTTTTCTCCTGCCCTAGCCCAGCAGTCCTTACGATGCCCCAAGGGCTCTGATTCAATAGAGAAAGCTCTGGGTGGGCCTTGGTATTGTGGCAGGTCCCAGTGAAGGTTTGCTCAGTCCACTCTTTCCATTCACGTACTTAAAAGGCTTTTTAAGAACAGTGCTAAGAAAGAGGTACTGATTTTGAGCCCGGTTCCAGTTCCAGTATCCAATCAAGAAGTAAAGGCTCCAGGTAGGGAGAAATGATAAGGAGAGCTGGGTCCACCTGGTTAAGGGAAAAACTCTGTGTTGGACTGTTGTTTCAGTCTAGCTTTTTAAATGGTTGCTACAATATATGAGGGCTACTAGGTTCTGTACTTCATGTGGGAAAAGTGGAATACAATGTGAGTGCTGTGGCCTGTGACTCTGGAACTCAGTGTCCTGCACAGATGCCACATCCATATGTGGTTTCTGAGGGATTTGTTGCAGTGAAAGTGTAATACCTTTGAAAACAGTGTTGCAAGTGGATAGAATTACCATCAACAACATGAAAAGCCCTCATATTTTTCAGCATTTTAAAGTTATGTGGTTGTAATATTTGAAGACGGGATGTTACTAAATAGATGACAATTGAGGTTTTTCATGCTGCTCTTATGAGCTAAGTTTTTACATCAAGAATTGATGCAATTTCTAGTTCAGCTCATAATTTTCAAAACTGTCAAATCTGTCATTCAGAAAATTCAAGAACCCTTGAGGGTTAGATTCTACCTCAAGATTAGGAGTTTCATTCTAACCAGAGTGTTACCTCTTGCCCCTAGATCCAGACGCAGAGGTGTGTCTTCATGTTTTGCGGCTTGTCCAGTCAGTGGTTCTGGAGCCAGAAGTCTTCTCCAAGTTGGCCTCTGAGCTCCGGAGCTCCCTGCCCCTGCAGCGCATCCTGGCCATGTCCAAGAGCCGCAACCCCCGCCTGCAGGCCGTGGCCCAGGAGCTCCTGGATGACCTCCGAGCTCTGGAGTGTGATGCATAGGCATGTCCCTCCTCCTTCCCAGGCCCCCACTTGGTGTTCTGAACCATCACCGAGGGCCATGTGGTAGAGATGGCCAGATGTTCTTGACTAGAGATGGACGTGAATGAACATGTATCCACACACCTCCCCCCTGGAAGTGAAGGTACTTGTGGGTGGTGAGTTAAGGGAGCCCGAGAAAGAACCCATCCTGTCGCAGCAGCCATGTCAGCTGTGCTGGCTTCTTCGAGGGCTCCTGCTGCTCAGGGGACTTTCTGAGACCCGTGAGTCCCCCCAAAATGGGAGATGAAGTAACCACCAGCCCTGAGATACATTTAATTGAAAAACAATTCATTCTTTCTCTAGTAATTATAACTAATGCCCCAAATGCAAGTTTACCTTTAAACCTTTTGGTGACTTGCTAGTTCACATGCCATTGGACATTTTAGTTCTATATTTTTGTGCCTTTTTAATTTTTGAATAAAGAAAGTCAGAAGAGTCATTGATGTGCTCCAACTATTGTTTTTTGAAATATTACAAACTTGAATTGGGAAGCTGTATCTGACAATGATTGGTAGGAAAACTCTCCTTACATTGTTCTGGGTCCTTTATAAACTCAGAATAAAGTCCACTGTTTCATATAACAAACTAGAGGCCCGGTGCACAAAAATTTGTGCACTCGGGGGGGGGAAGGGGGGGTCCCTCAGCCTGGCCTGTGCCCTCTCGCAGTCTGGGACCCCTCGGGAGATAACGACCTGCTGGCTTAGGCCTGCTCGCGGGTGGCAGAGGGCAGGCCCAATCCCTAGGTGCAGCCCCTGGTCGGGCTCAGAGCAGGGCTGATTGGGGAGTTGGGGCGCCGCCCCCTGTCATGCACAGAGCAGGGCGGATTGGGAGGTTGTGATGCCACCCTCAGTCACGCTCACGGTAGGGCTGATTGGGGGGTTGGGGCACCGCCCCCTATCACACTCAAGGCAGGGTCAATGGGGAGGTTGCGGCACCACCCCCTGTGATGCACAGAGCAGGGCCAATCAGGGGGTTGGGGCGCTGCCCCCTGTCACTCACAGAGCAGGGCCAATCAGGGGGTTGGGGAGCTCCCCCCTCTCATGCACAGAGCAGGGCCCATCAGGGGGTTGGGGAGCTCCCCCCTCTCATGCACAGAGCAGGGCCCATCAGGGGGTTGGGGAGCTCCCCCGTCACGCACAGAGTAGGTCCGATAGGGGAGTTAGGGCACCGCCCCCTGTCACACACAGAGCAGGGCGGATCAGGGGGTTGGGGCGCCACCACTGTCACACTCAGGGCAGGGCCGATGGGGAGGTTATGGCTCTACCCCGTCACAGACAGAGCAGGGCCCGTGGACGGGAGGGGGCGGGGTTGGGGCGCCACCCCCTGTCACACACAGAGCAGGGCCGATCAGGGGGTTGGGATGCCACACCCTGTCACACACAGAGCCGCAGGGCGATCAGGGGGTTTGGGCGCTGCCCCCTGTCACGCTGATCCCGGTGCCGGGAGGCCTCGAGGCTCCACTGATCCCGGTGCTGGGAGGCATATTACCCTTTTACTATATAGGATAGAGGCCTGGGGGCCGGCTGGTTTCCCCTGAAGGGTGTCCTGGATCAGGGTGGGGGTCCCCACTGGGGTGCCTGACCAGCCTGGATGAGGGGATGATGGCTGTTTGCAGCTGGTCACACACCCTTCAGGGTGGGGGTCCCCACTGGGGTGCCTGGCCAGTCTGGGTGAGGGGCTGAGGGCTGCTTTCAGGCTGGCGGTTTTGACTGAAGCTCCCAACCGCTCCTTTTTTTCTTTTTCTTTTTTTCTTCTGGGCCAGCTTTAGCTCTGGCTCTAGCTCTGAGGCTTCCGCTGCTGGTTTGTTTGCCGTTCTATAATCGAAACAATGTATAACTTCAGCTCTGAGATCCCAGCCGGCTATATTTGTTACAAAGTTTCAAACTGCCAGCTTAGAGGCCGGCAAGGCAGGCGGGGAACGTTGGAGTCTGCAGTCACGGGAGCAAGCAAGCCTCATGTTCGCTTCCAGCTGCCTGGCTGCCGGCCGCCATCTTGGCTGACAGTTAATTTGCATAAGGATATGCTGATTAGCCAATGGGAAGGGTAGCGGTCGTACGCCAATTACCATTTTTCTCTTTTATTAGTGTAGATACCATGAAAAGGGCCTCCTGGATTGGAACGCATGCCGTGTAATGATGTACACTAGTGTGTACCAGAGTCCCCGCACTACAGGTTTCCTTCTCGTCTGCATGTAGGCCACTGGCAAGAACAAAGGAGGATGCACTTCACTTCCCATAGACACCAGCACGTGTGAGAGTGGGAGTGCATCTGTATCACTCCTTAAGGTCACGTCAGGGAACGTGTTCACACCTCTCTTCTGGTGCTGCTGCCTTCAGCATGTGGTTCTGATGCCTGGTTTGTCTCTTTAGACTGTGCTTTTTCCTTTTAGTGTGCCTTGTAATTTTTGGTTGAAGGATAGACATTATTTACTGGGTAAATAGGACTTCCGTGTGCGGTTTTATGTGGGCTCCGGGTGTCCTGTGCGAGCAAAAACCCATGCAGGTGCCCCTTACTGTGGCAGCCTCAGATAGGTATATAAGCAGTTTCTACTGTGTGGCATTTTAGGATAATTTCATTTTTCTTTAAAGTAGACTTTTGTAGGCAATGTGTGGTTTATGGCTGAGGCTGAATGAAGGAGCTTAAGGGAAGGCACAGTTGCTTGAATTTCACGAGCCAGCATATTGTGAAACATTAGCTCATCAGAGCCAGAGAAAAGTTGTAAAAAGCAATTTAAAATTCATGGAGGCAGAAATTGGTCCATCTGTGCTGCATGGGCCTGATTATTGGTGAATAAAATTGAGGATGTGTTTTTGTACGTTTTCTAGCATGGTATCATTTCCTTTTTGGTTGTTTGATAAGGTAATGGGAGCTAACTAATGTAATTAGTTTGTGCTGCCTCTAGACACAGGATTTTTTCTTGCTGAAGTGGGGTCAGTGGCGTATGGAGAGAAATGAAACTGGGCCCAACCTGTGAATGTTTGTAGTTTAGCTAGTTAGTAGATAGATGAGATTAAGAAGGAAGTGCTAAGGATAGCAAGAGTTCTTACTGAAAACTCCTACATGAAGGAACATGACAAATACATGTTTTGAATGTATATCTCAGGAAAAGTACTTAAGGTCAGTTTCAAGGAGTGACTAGCCTTTCTAATATTCTGTTTTCGTGTGAGGGTCAAGGAGAAAACATGGATTCTTTAAATTTTTTTGCATCCAGAGATCTAAAGAAATGCAGTTTAAAAAGTATGTGCAGGTACTTGACAGTGTTTGAGGTCTCTGATGAATTTTAAAACCAGAAACAAAAGCAGTACAATGGTACATGTATTTTTAAAATTTAATTTTTTAAAAATTGCTCTTATATTTAAGTTAAGGAACTCTTCTCTCTGTGGTGCGGTCAGCTTTTGTATAAAGGTGTGAAACCTGCCAGGCCTGCAGTGAGACTACTCCTCCCATGCCCTGCCCCTCACAGGTGGTCTGAGCAGGCCTCTTGTTGCCAATCGAATCTGTTACCTGTGGGGTCTGGAAGGAGCGGACCCTCGTGGATGGTTCTGGTTCTGTCTGCTCATGGCATGAATTGGGAGAAGCCTAATGTTGTAAGGAGTTCTCATCCAGATATTTATATAGCCCTGTGTTTTCACTTATTCCACTTGGCACTCTGAAATTGGAGTACCAACCAAGCACCACCAGTCTGGGACCTGAGGAAATTGGCGCCCAAGGCTGGAAGTCAGATCATGGTTAAGGAAGGGTTCAGTACAAGTTGTAGATGTGCCCATTACACTGCTTCTGTCAGACCTCCCATTAGATGTATTACCATGACATCAGTATGAATGGAAATGGTTGATAAAGACTTTCATAGACTTAACCAGTTTCCTTAGAAGTCCTGCAGGTGAATTTCCTTTATTTTGTGTGTATGTACTTAGACTACTTGGGAAGGACTTCTCTGACCAGTGTAGGGTCTCAGTGGGGATCCTGGTAGAGTGTAGGACACAGTGTAGTATACAGCATCCTGTAGGGGGTGTGCAAGCTCAGAAGGTGGAGTGAATAAATACATTAAAAAGTCTGGATACTGCCCTAACTGGTTTGGCTCAGTTGATAGAGTGTTGGCCTGCGGACTGAAGGGTCCTGGGTTTGATTCCGGTTGGGGGCATGTACCTTGGTTGCGGGCACATCCCCAGTGGAAGGTGTGCAGGAGGCAGCTGATCGATGTTTCTCTTTCATCGATGCTTCAAACTCTCTGTGCCTCTCCCTTCCTCTCTGTAAAAAATCAAAATATATTAAAAGAAAAAAAAGGCTGGGTACTTTCCAAGTCCAGGCTCAGATGCGGAGGAGGAGAGACAACTGGTATACCTCTGTCTTCACAGGGCTCATCTTGAAAGTTGCTGGCTGTCTCCCTGCCCTGATAGGAGCCCACATAAATGTGTCTTCAGATGTAGAATAAAACATGGAATAAGGAGGCCTTTGAATGTGCTAGTGTGTGTGACAAAATGACTATTGTTAGTTTTTTGTTATTTGTAGTTTTCCAACTTTTTAAAAATGTGATAAAATTTACCACATAAACATAAATGGTAAACATAAAATTGACCTTTTTAACCGTTTTTAAGTGTAAAATTCAGTGGCATTAAATACATTCACAGTATTGTGTTACTATTACCACTATCTATTTCCAGAACTTTTTATCAGACCAAACAAAAACTCTGTACCCATTAAACAATAACTCCTGTTCCTCCACTGCCTCCCTCCCAGCCCTGGTATCCTCTGTTCTACTCTGTCTCTATGAATTTGACTACTCTACATACCTCATATAAGTGCAATCATAAAATATTTGTCTATCTCAATCTGGCTTATCTCACTTAATGTAATGTCTTCAAGGTTCATTCATGTCATATAGCATGTGTCATAGTCATACTTTATTCTTTTTTTAAAAAATATATGTTTTTAATTTATTTCTGAGAGGAAGGGAGAGGGAAAGGGAGATAGAAATATCAATGATGAGAGAGAATCATTGATCGGCTGCCTCCTACACCTCCCCTATTGGGGATCGAGTCTGCAACCTGGGCATGTGCCCTGACTGGGAATTGAACCGGGGACCTCTTGCTTCACAGGTCAACACTCAACCAGCTGAGCCATGCTGGCTGGGCAGAACTTTATTCTTTCTATGAGTGAATAATATTGCATTGTACTTGTATACCACAGTGTGTTTATATCTTTCTATTCACCTGTTGATGGACACTTGGGTTGCTCCC